GTTGCCAACAGGGTCCACCTGCATCCTGCAGAGTAAGGCCCTTGCCCAGAAGTGAAGGACCAAGCAAGGGGAACCTACTGCCCTGTGGGTATTTGTCCAGCCTTGTGTAGCCCTGAGGGCAGGAATGTGCCCAACTCACTGTGGACTCCAAGGCTGGCTGTCCAGCTTCCTGCTTGCCCCTGAACCTGGCCTGGAGGAGGGGTAAACATTGCCACTGGTGTGAGACCCGAGATACAGGTGTGTTTGTTCTTAGAATTGTTGGTGATTTTTCTCCTTCTCTGGTGAACATCAGAATGATAGGATTTGCAGCCCTGCTGAGCTGTGTGGGGCTGAGTGGAGGATGAGCTGAATCAATCATCTGTAGATGAGGAGACGCTCAGTGGCCAGGGATGTCGTTTGTATGCCCCGGGGGTTTGTAAAATGTCCACAGACTGGATAACTGCTCGCCTCAGCCTCTGACAAGAGTTACAGGAGAGATGTTGCTGTCTCAGCATTTCATGTCATTCTTTTACCCATAGGCCTTTTAGTAGAGTGGCCCTCCAGTCTTCTGGTACTGCTGGTCTAGGTCCCCAAGGTGACTCAAAGGGATCTCATGGAAGCCAGCCTCCCAGCAATGCCTCTTCCCTACCAACCTGCTCACCAGAGCTGGGGGGACTGAAGGAGGTAGGCAAGTGAGGGAGCGGTCCTACACCAGGCTCTGGAGGCAGGCTGCCTCAGTTTCCAACTGTGTAACTTTGGACACATTACTTAATTTCTCTGTGACTCACTTTCCTCATCTATAAGACAGGGGATAAGAGTATATTGAACACCCTAATCCAAAAAATCCAAAATCTAAACTGCTTCATAAATCCAAAACTTTTTGGTCATTTGACATGGTGTTTCAAGTTGAAAATACCACACCTAACCTCATGTGAGAGATTGCAGCAAAAATGTAGGCATACTTAAAATATTGTGTAAACTTACTTTTAGACTCTGTATATATGATGTATATGAAACATACATTAATTCTGTGTTTAGACTTGGGTCTCATTTCCAAGATAAGCCATAAAAAAGTTCCAAAATATGAAAAATACCTGAAATCCAAAACACTTCTAGTCCCAAGCATTTCAGATGCAGGATATCTATGTCCATGTCACAGACTTATTTTGGGGATTAAGTGAGATAAAGTATTGTGAATAACTTCCTGTCTGGGACACAGGAAGAACTAAAGCTATCTCACCTTTTGTTATTGGCAGCCTGCGTTGGAGCTTCTCAACAATGGCACCACTGCCATTTTGGCCTAGACAAATCTTTGCTGTAGGGCACTAGCCTATGCATAGTAGGATCTTGAAGCCAGTAATAACCCCTCCTCCAAACTCTTTCCAGACATTCCAAATGTCCCCTGGTGGGCAACTTGCCCCCCACCCCACCACGGAGGACCACAACTCTAAATCACTTCTTATGTAAACCTGAACTTGCTGGGCCTGCAGGCAATGGAAGTAGGCCTCTTACACAAAATCATTTCCCTTTTCTTGCATGTGTGGGCCATTTATTGATTCACTGCACTACTAGCTGGGCTTCTGGGATGTCAAAGGAAGGGCTTGAGAGAACCCTCTCTGCTGAATCTTTCTCTGTGATCTGCTGGCTTCATGTTACACCAGTCAAGATGTACTTTGTTGTTTGCTTTTTAAATAATGAACAACTGTCTGTCCTATTATGATTTTTCCTGATTCTGGAGCAATAAACAGCTCCAGTGACAGCTGTACCAGATAGGAAGTGCACACATGTCACTCAGAGCATTTTTCCAAGTACTTCAGAGCAGCTAAGTAGATATAACTGATTTTAGGTACTACCTGGGTGGCCACTTGTGTCTATGGAGCTTGCCCTGAAGATGAAAGCCAGGGCCTGATGACAGAGAAGAAGCAGGGGGAGGGAAGTAACTTCTCTCAGACTGTCCTGGTCTTGCAGCCTATGCTTCTTGACCTCACAGAACCTGAGTCCTGGCACGCAAAGTGACCAAGAGCTGCACTTTCCTGAGGAGACCATGGCACATTCACCCCAAGGGCACAAGTAGGTTGAGGCTCCACACTTTTGCATGATCACAGAAAGCTTTCTGGAGTGGTATGTTTTCATTTCTACTCTCAAAGGTACAAAGTTGGGCTACATGAAAGAAGGAGGTGGGGACAGTTCTCATATTAGTGTAACTCGGGCCATTGTTCCCTGGTGTGTAGTTGATATTCCCAACTTAGCCGTGGCTCCTCTGGGGCAGGAACCAAGGCATTTTCATCTCTGCATTTCCAGAAACCAATTTAGAGGTTATTTGTCGATTGGATGGATGGGTATGATGCCTATCTTCACAACTGTTTGATTTCTAAATTCTACCAGATGTCAAGTTCTTCCTTAACTCCAATAAACTGAAAACCTCAGCAGGTCTCAAATATAATGGGTGGTATCCTGGAAATCCAGGCCACACAATGGACCTCCTTCAGCTTACAGTTAGGAACTCATCTCTTACCTAGTAGGGTTTGAAGAGGCTCCCTGGATTCTGAGCTTGGGTTCCACATTGAGCTGGACATGTACATTTGGCCTCTGCTCAAAACTTTGATCTTTCACCTCAATTGTGAGAAGAATCAGTCTTGCTAGCAATTTTATGTCTATGTCCATGGATTTGCCAGACTTGACAAATTAGAAGATGACCTCAGAGAACAGATCTGGCTGTCATAAGTGTCATGCTTGTCCTAGACACACACTCCACCTTCTTCCTTCTACTCTAAGGGGTGGACTTCATGGAACATTTCAGTGGGTTCCCCTGTTTTCTGGTCTCCTACTGGGTTTTATCAATAAGCTGCTCAGCAAAAGATCAGAGCATGGAGATGGGGGTGAAGTTGAATATGTATTCAGTTCTGGTCACCATTCCTTCCAAAGTTCCCTCTCAAGGCCACCCTCTCTCCTTTTCTCTTTCTACTCTTATACCTTTGGTCCTGCATGCCACTATCCCAAGGGAGTTGTACTATCTCTGTGGGTCCCTGATATCATACACACACTTGGAATATTGTGCCTTTGTCACACCCTCAGATTCCCCCAACAATTCCTGTTCACTGCTATACTGGTCTAAGGCACTTTTTGTGACTGAAGAACAAGGCTGCATGCCCACAGGATATCTGGGAAACCTCCAAAGGTCAGGAAGAGCATGTCCACGAAGGAACACCCTTTGCTTGCCCTCCTTCCCTGTGCAGCCCTTATCTCTGGCCTCTTTTATGCCCTGCACCCATGTTTAAGAAGTAGTTGTCAACCACTCTCTTTGACTAAAGCATTTTTAATTAATCAACCAATATTTGCCAGTAAGAATTTTTCAATAGGTCAAGATAACAAGAAGGAGCATGCCGAATTCTATCATAAAGCATAGAAATGTGCTGTGTGTCCATCGGGCCTGATCACAGGAGGGGAGGAGATAGAGTGTGGTTTCCCACAGTATTTCCAGGAATAGAGTTCACAGAACCCTGTGACTCTCTTGCTCAGAGCTCTTACTGGGCTCAGGGTTGAGGGAAGTTATTGAAAACTTTGAAGACCAAGAGTCATGTGGCTTTCCTATAGACTAGGGACAGAATACAGACCATAAGAAGGTGCCTATTTTTATAAATGAAGTGTTGTTGGGACGTGACCATGTATATGTGCTTTGTCTAAGAGTATGTTGGTTCTACAACAGTGAGTTGGAGTCGCAGAGACTGCATGGCTCTCAGTACAAAAAAGAATCTAAATAGCAGGCCCAACTGCTTGCAGGGTGGCCCTTGCCTGGCACTTTAGCTTGGATTTTAGGAGGATTCCCACCACAACAGAGATGAGGCCCAATAGTGCCTAAACTGATTTTGCAAATACTATGGTTCATGCTGAACATCCACTGTCCATCTGAACAAACAGGACTTCTGGTCTGTAGCTCCCCTGTCACAGCAACTCCCTCCCCGCCTGGGGTCACTGTAGAGATGAGGGCCCCTCACAGGGCAGTGTCTGGGGGCATTTATGAAGGGCAGTCCTCACATTCCTGACCATTGAACATTCCTTCCTTGGGTCTCCATCAATTCCAGGGCCCACATTTGATTTCTTGCCAGTTTTGATGCAGGCCGGGCAGAGGCTGCCTCTGTGACCTGCCCCAATAGGAACCCTGCGTGCTGAGACTCTGGCAGGCTTCCCTGGTTGGCAACACTCACACGTGCTGTCATACACATTGCTGGAACTGAGAATATCCTGTGTGACTCCACTGGAATAGGACCTTCAGGTGCTCATGCCTGACTTCCCAGGCTATGCCCTGGGTGCCTTTCCCCATTGCAGATCTGCTCTGTATCCCTTCACTGTAATGAACCAAAGCTGTGAGTACAGCTGAGGACTGTGTCCTCATGGAGAATCACTGAACCTGAGGGGGATCTTCCCAGCACACCCTCAATGCTAAAACTATTTGCTACTTGTCCTTTAAGAAAAAGTTTGCCAGCCCCTGCTCTGCACAGTCTTAGTTGGGATGAAAATTTTGTGTACTCATCTCCCATCCCCCAAGACTCAGAACTCCTGGAAGGCATGACCCTAGCCTTTTTGCTCCAGATCTCTTGGCCAAGCACAGTATCTGGCACAAAATATTTATGGAGGAAGCCAGTGATTCTGCACATAATTGATTCATGAGGTGCTTGTTAAACGGTGGGTGGTGAAATCAATTAAAAAAGTTATAGCCTACATTTTTCAATGAACAAATAGAATAGAAAATATCAGTGTATCCCACATGGTAAGGGTAAGTTTTACCTCTTGAAAATTTTGTTTTAGTTATACATGTGGACCAAATGCTATGCTGGGTTATGATGAACAAGGGTTTCTTCTCTGTTGCAATAGATAACGATTTGAAGTCCAATGGATATAAAAATTTGGTCTTCCTTAACTGAGACATCTTTGCCAGCTGTCTGGTGACAGTCGTCACTTACCCTCCATCTCTCTAGCCATTGGCATTTAACTTTCTTCTTCCTTCTTCCCTCTACACCCAGAATGTGTACTACACGAGCACACAGCAGATCCAAGTTGGCATCCTGAGCCCCACAGTTGATGACGATGACAACCGGTGCCTGGTGGACGTCAATAGCCGCCCACGGCTCATTGAGTGCAGCTATGCCAAAGCTAAGAGGATGAAGCTCCACTGGCAGTTCTCTCAGGTAAGAGCCCCAGAATGTGGGGCAGCAACAGCCATGGAACAGAAAGGCCAGACAGTGGCCACAGGGGCCAGAACAGGCATGGAGGAGAGGAGAGAAAGGATACTTTGGCAATAGTGAGGCAGTGACCTCAGACCAATGCCTAGGGACTTACTGAGCACCCACCAGTGCCAGGGACTTTATACACCATAGCTCATTGATTCCTTATCCTGACTCTGAAAGAAATTATTCTTGTTTTATTGTTATTGTTATTATTATTATTGGCAGTACTGAGGTTTGAACTCAGGACCTTGTGCTTGCTAAACAAATGCTCTACTATTTGAGTTGTAAGGAAACTGAGGCTCTGAGACAGGAAACACCTACCCATGGTCACACAGAAATGGATAGATTTTCACTTTAGGAAATAGGATTTGAGCTTGGGTCTCTCTGACTTTAAACTTTTGTACCTTCTCACAAAATGAAGCCCAGCAGTGTCCCAGATATAGCTAGTTCTGGACTTCTGGTCAGTGACTCCCCAGCCTGAGGTTACTCTAGAAATGAGGGCCCTCACAGGGCAGTGTCTGGGGCCATTTATGAAGGGCAGTTCTCACATTCCTGACCATTGAACATTCCTTCATTAGGAATTCCATCAATTCCAGGGCCCACATTTGACTTCTTGCCACTTATTGGCTGCTATGTCTCCCTGTATAAAATGATGCCAAAGGATCCAGATAGCCAACTTTAAAGAGAACCTCTGCCTCCCCAGGCCTCTCCTTCCCAGGGGATCCAATCATTAGGACCAGTTTCCACTTGGGGATGGGGATGCTGACCTCCCATGTGTGGAGAGGAAAGGTTCATACAGAAGTTGAGTGATCCCACAGCATCCTTGAACACCAGGGCTGCCTGATGGGCTGAACATGGTGGACACTCCCAGGGAGGTCAGGGAGTAACTGACTCAGGCCTCCCAGAAAGCTGCTTCTGCTCTTGCTGATGGGGCACAACAGGAACTTTGAAAATTGGTCTCACTTCAATTCTAATCCTGGTGTCATTACTCTCTCCTATAGTGGAGGGGTGGGGCTGCCTTGGCAAGCCCCAGCTGCGTCATACTCCATGGTGATAAAGCACCTTTGACCTGTTGTCTGGGTTATGGGAAGCAGAGGACTTAGAGAGCCCCTTAGTCAGGTCTTAAAGGGTGGTAAATGTCAGTACTAAGCAGTAAGTTCAAAACAAGATCATAGATTTAGGGGCTAAAGAACAGAAGCAAGAGCCCGAGATGGGGCTTGTGGACTCAGGGAAGCAGATGTCCAGGAGAAGCACGGGGAGCCAGTTGGGAGCACTTCCAAGATGAGTAGAGGCTGCATGTGGCTCTGTGAATCCAGGATGGGCCTGCAAGATGTGTGGGTCTAGCAAAAGGGAACAGCACACAGGGGACTCATAACTCATGTCCCTGTGCCTTCCTGTCTGTCGGACTTTTGACATATGCTTAAGCTGTCTCAATAAGAGTAATAGTTAACATTCCTTCAGCACTCACTGGGGACTAGACACTAAGCACTTGGCATATATTCAGTTATTTAATCCTACAACTGTATGTGACCTGAACCATTACCCTGACTTTATAGGTGAGGAAACCGAAGCACAGAGAAGATAAGAAATGTGTCTAAGGTGTTCCTGTTAGCTATTACTCACAAAATTCCCTTTCATACTTTTAATGATGGGAGGATGTCAGAAGTGGCTTCCTGGAAGAAGGCCAGGGTCAAGACTGAGATGTGAAAGTCTGGGGCGTGTCTTCCTCCCAACCCCCTCTCATGTTAAAAATGCCAAGACCTATACTGTGCCTGGCAGGACCCTTGTCACTTTCCTTTGCCAGGCTTCTGACCCAGAGGGCACAGAATGGCTTCCTTTCCCCCTTCCCTCCTTCAAGCTGACAGGCAGAGAGAGGCCTTGAGGTGTAGTTAGGAAGGGTGGCTCCATATATGCTAGAGAGGAATAGCTGTGGCTTCCATGCTCAGGCCAGGTGGAGAACAGGCTTTACTGGGGTGAGATGGGGTTCGTGGCCTAAGACTGCAGGGTCTTTAGGAATCACATTAGAGCCTCTGAGGGTTACTCCCTGCTGCTTTCAGCTAGGCCTGCTAGGTTTCTGGAGTTCGGCTTCCTCCTAGAGACTGTGAATGGAACAGTTCAAGAAGTTGGTTCTGGGGCACAGGAGTGGGGCAAGACTGGTGGCTTTTCAGAAGACAGGATTTAACCTGAAATGTTCGAGTCTATAGGAGCTTGCTCCATTTAGGAGTGAAGGTGTTCCGGAGAAAGGGTATGGCGTGCGTTCGATGGTGGTCATCAAAACCTGGGCCATGTTAGGCCCTCAGTTGGGTGTGGCTGGATCCTGGAGGGCATGGTGGGGAGCAGCTGGACAAGAGTCTGGGAGGGACAAAGGGCCAGGTCATGTGGGAGGTGAGGACATTCAACCCTAGGGCATGTTTAGGTCTGGACTTTCAAAAACCCCCTCTTCTAGGGATTATAGAACTGAATTAGATGAGAAAATTCTAGAAAGGGGAGTAGATAAGATGAAGACTTAGCAGAACACTGAGATACAGTGTGAAAGTTTAACCTTTCTGTCCTCACTGCCATGACCCTAGGACCCTCAGAGTTCTGCCCTGCCCCAAAGGCCAACTCTCAAGGCAGGGTCTGAGGCTGAGCCAGGGACTTTGGCGGTATGGGCTGGGCAGAGCATGTTGGTAGGTGTAGCTCGAGTCCTGTGAAAGGTAGATTTGCTGCTTCACCTTCCTGTAAGAGGAGGGTAGGTAGTGGCCTCTGGGCTGTCCAGGAAGTTACAGTCCAGCAGGTGCCTGAAGCTCTGAGGACTTGGCATCACCCAGATGTGAGTGTTTCCGATGGAAGTAGGCAACCAGCCCCTTCAGAGGCCTTGCTCCTCCAAGGCACTGGACTCAGATGATCGCCTGTCAGTGATCCTCAACCTCGAGGCAAAGACACCTTAAAATCCAGCTCCTTCCTTCCCTCATTTCAGGGTATGGCTTTGAACAGACAGCCCCACAGGCTTCCTGCTTGAATGGATGTGGCAAAAAACAAAGCAGGCAGCACTGGGGTGTGGTGCTCTGGAGCCTGGACAGTCTTCAGCAACTTTAGTGCATGTCTAATTAAAACTCCCACAGTGCTTTGGCAAGCACATTGTTGATCCCTCTGCCAAAGGGAACTGTTTGGAAGTAATACTTTTAAATTCCTAATGTGCAAACCCAGAGCAGCCATTCTCGTTTGTTATTTAATAATTAACACATGTGCAATTTTTGCTTAATGCGTAATGATTGATATTTATCAAGCAACCTAGAATCACTCAGTCCTCAAGCCCTCATTGATGAGGGGCGGCCGTTCACAATACTAAAGGAAGTCTGGAGTCTCTTAAATGATTAAAGTCTTGCACTTGGGCTAATTTTCTTGCAACAGGTTTTAATCTTTGCAGTCACATAGGGATCCCACCAACCAGAATATTCTGCTGTAGAAGTTGGGCTGGGAGGAGTTTTCAAGTCTCCTTTTTGGTTGCACATTATGCATTATTTACCCTCCTGAGGACCACATTTAAGCTCTCCAGACCCTCAGACTGAATTTCAAAATAATCTAGTATGATTCACCTACCAAAAAAAAAAAAAAAAAAAAAGCAGGCATTTGCACATCTCCGTGTTCTATCTCATACCCTGATTTTTCTGTTTAACAAATAAAATGCCTCTCCTCTAACCCCTGCAAGCTATTCTGAATTTCCAGTGCTTCAGGCTGAACCAACACAGTGTTGGTTACTGACATCCTGAAGCCACATTTGATGAAAATATTCCATGGCAACACTGATGTACAGGGCTCTGATGAGCAGTTTTCTGAAGATGAATGCTCTTTCCTTCAGTTGTTCATCAAACATTTATTGAGCACAGGGGTTTGGCAGGAGTGACACAGATATGAGTCACACGAGGCCTCTGCCCTCGAGGAGCTCATGGGCATGTAAACACACAACAAAACAGGCTGATGAAAGCACAAACAGAGGGGGCATTCAGTGTTCTGGGAGCCCAGAGTGACTGGCTCTGTCTGCCTATTTAGGGACAGCTTCACATGTGTGGCTTGTTTGATCTGAATCTTGAAAGTTATGGAGACTGTTCCCAGGCACAGTAAGGGAGAACAATGTCCCAAGTTAGTGACTCTGCTTAGGCAAAGGCATGTAAGCACAGAGGGTATTTGAGGAATATGAATTCACTGTTTGGTGTGGATAGAAAATACAGTCTGTATGAGGGAGATAAAACCACAGAATCACATGGGGGAAGTTCATTGCAGTTGTTAAAGACATACCAAAAAGTTTGGCCTTTACCTTAAAGCAAAGGGAGCGACTATGGAGGTTCTTAAGCTGTAGATTTCTGTGTTGGTCCATTTTTTTTTCATTACTATAATGAAATACCTGAGGCTATATTCTTATTTAGCTCATAGTTCTGGAGATTAAAGGACATGACACTGATTATCAGCTCAGCTCTGGTGAAGGCCTCATGAAGAATGGGATCCCCATGGCAAGAGACAGAAAGCTCAAGCTCTCATGCAAGAGAGGAAGAGATCACATTTTGAGATGGAAATACTCAAAGCTCAGGTTCTCTCTTTTATAACAACTTGCTCTCATGAGAATTAACTCAAGGTCCCAGAAGAGCTACCTTAATCCTTCAGAAGACAAGGCACTCAGTGACCTGAGATCCTTTACTAGGCCCCACCTCTTAAAGGTCCCACCACCCCAACACTACCATGCTGAGGAGGACCCAGCCCCCGATATGTGAACACTTGGGAAGCAAACCACATCCAAATGACAGTAATCCCCTCGATGGGAATTGCCTGTTTAAGACCAGAACAATCTCCTTGGCAGCATCATGGAGGATGGCTTGGGAGGGAAGTGACTGGAGATAGAGAAGTGAACTAAGGAGGAAGCTGGCCCATCATACCCTGGAGAAAGGGGAGAACTTGGTAGCCATGAGGATGGAGCCAAGTAGCAG